TTTTAAAAGGCAGACTTGGAGTCCCTTCCCAGACCTATTGAACCATAATCTTTAGTAAGGAACAATGTGTACTTTAAGTAAGTCTTTTAAATGATTCCCAGGTTATAACCTATAATCTTAAAAACACATTCCTTTATATAAAGGAGAACCAATCAAATAAGTATATAATTGCATGCCATTAAAATGCTACGTAAGACTATTATAAGTACTAAGGTAGCTTGAATCATAATGGCTATCCATTACCTTGGTAAGGCACAGGATCAAAGTTATACATGGCTACGGAGGTTAGTGTTGGCTCAACTTTAAGATGTGGAAGTGACTTTCCAAGACAGAATTTCAGGTCAGAAATCTAAAAGTCATGTTGATTCCTTTCTTGCCCTCACTCTCATCTGCTTTTGTTGTCTTTAGTGCACTTCAAGTCTGTACCGCAATCTTTATTGATGTGAAACACAGCTCTTACTCCAGAGGGAAAAAAATTGAGTTAAATCTGAGCCAAGTATGTGTGACCATTTTACTTAATGTGTGCAGGTGTCTTATTTTGCTCTTTTGTACGTAAGTGACCAATAATCTTAACATTTTCAAAAAAAATCAATAGTCCACATATGCTTGAATGTATTTCTAAATTATTCTTCTATTCTACTATTTTGCTTATTTTTATATCAGTATCAAATCCTTTGGATAAATTTTTAAATTGGTTTAGTGAGGGCTAACGGCATTGCTTAATGGTTAGGAACATTTGCCGCCCTTCCAGAGCTTGCAGATTCGGGTCCCAGTGCTCGTGTGGCAGCTCACAATCACCTGTGACTTTAGGTAAAGAGGATGGATGCCCTCTCCTGGCCTCTGCTTTCACCAGGCATGCACATGTTACACATGTACATATGCAGGCAGAACACATAAAAATCATTGCTTTAAAAATCCAGGGTGAATACCAACTTTCTTCTTTGTTTTCAAAATAATTTTGCCTTTTTTTGATCCCTTAACATGAAATTTTGAATCCACTGTTAAATTTCTACAACAATCTACCTGAGATTTTGACAAACATTGTTTTTAAGCCATAGATATATTTGAGTTATCACTTTGGCAATAGTTGGTGTTATTGTCTCTGAGCATTTTATTGATTAAATTTTAATTATAGTTTTCATAATTTTATAGTTATAGTGAATTAATATCATAATGTTTTAGCTAATTTATTTTTAAGCATTTTAATTTTAATGCTACAGCAAATGAAATCAATTTCATTTTCATTTTATATTGTCACTTAAAATAGTTTTGCATTCTTAAAAAATATAATTCATTTTTACTTTAAGTGTTTTGTCTGCATGTATGTCCATTCAGCATGTGTGTGTGCCATGCCCACAGAGTCTAGAAAAGGGTATCATGTTCTCTGGAACTAGAGTTACAGATATTTATGAATGACCATGTGAGTGCTAGGAACGAATTTCAGGTCCTCTGTAAGAGCAGCAAGTGCTCTTAGCTGTTGAGCCATAGTTTCATAGTCTCCCTCTGTTTTTTGCTTTGTTCTGCTGCATCTTTAAATGTTAACTTTGAAATATTATGCAAAAATTATGATTTATTCTTCTAGAATCTTCTTCAACTTCTTTCTTCAGATATTTAAATTTTTTATTGTTGCATACTTTGACCTCCTAAAGTTTATTTCCACATAGTTTTGAGGCTGTTAGAAAGTGCTATTTGATCTTCTCATCATGCTTCCTATTGGTCTGCAGAAATGCTGATTTTATTATCCTGCAACTTTTGCTGAATGTACTGATCATTTCTCTGCAAATAATAATTTGATTTGTTTTCCTATTTCTATCCCTTTAACTGCCTTCTCTTGTATTACTGATCTAGTAAGGGATTATAAACACAAATAAATAAATAATAGGTGATAGTAATTTTGATTTTAATAGGATTACTTTGAGTTTTTAATCAAATTATATAATGTTGGCTATGGTTCTGGCATATAGCCCTTATTAAATTGAGGTCTAATTCTTTCCTCTGTTATTATTTAGTACTTTTTTTCATGGTATATTAGATTTTGTCAAAGAGTTAGAAGATAGATTAATCTATGGGTATAATAATAAATTATTATTGTATAATAATAATGGTTAAATACTATATCCATTTCCCAGAAGTATTTTATTAGTGTTTTTTTTTCCCCAAGTGCAAATAACCTATCAAGTCATAGGTTCTTGGCTTGACAATGGTGACGATAATGGGTTTCATTATTACATTAGACTTAAATTCAAGCAGAAAGTGGTTGGTTATTCCCATGATCGTCATGCCACTATTGCACCAGTGGCCATGTCTTTCCAGATCAGCTGTTATTCTTCTTTGTTTGTTTGAAACATAGTCTCACTTTGTAGTCCAGGGTAGCTTAATGAGGGCTAACTATATCCCCAAACTGGCTTGATGCTCATGGTAATCTGCCTGCTTCAGACTCCCGAATTTTGAGATTGTAGTTATGAGCCACCATGCCTTGCTACATTCAGTAATCTTGTAATTTTATTGGTCATTTACAAAAAAAGATTTTTCATTGGTTTATTTCACATAAAACTTCAGAAAAAAATCATTTTTTAACTGAAAATGACAGTGTAGTGCCTATTACAGCCCTAATTTTTGTGAACAAGTCTTACATCCTTTGAAACAAATGAAAGTGTGTTGCTAGTTAAGTATCAGAAATGTAGTTATAGATGGGAAATTTTTTCTGTTAATTGTGAAATTTAATGTTCCTAAAACTTTTTTGTTGACTTTAATTTCTATTTTGAATTAGATTACCCTAAATCTCTAGAAGCCTTAGACAAATTGCAATTTAAGTTTATAGTAATTACCTTTAAGTTTAACATTCAAGTGTCTTTCATTATGAATCCATTATGGTCTAAAATCAGTATTTCAGTCACTAAATAGAATATTTCATTTTTCAATATTTTTGAAAAGGTTCTGACTACATGCTTTTAGTTCAAAAATTTTTTCTGTCTCATGGAAACCCTCCAATTTATAAATATCCCTTTAAAGTCATTAAAACTTAATGGAAAATTAAAGAGGCTGTAAAAAGGTTAGTTTTACTTCATGGGAAGCAGGCTGGATGGCTCTGGAAGTTTTCTGGGATGATGTCACATGAAGCAGCCTCACCTTTCTCAAAATGATGTGTGAATTAAAGACATTTAAATCGTGTACTCCACCTTGGGTAGATTCAGGTATTCCCAGCAAGTGCAGAGTTTAGGAATCAGGGACTGCAATTCCTGACCTCAACAGTCCAGAGAAGATTTAAATAAGGAAAGAAATCTTAAGTCATTTTCCATTAAAATAGCCCAATTACCTGGCCCTCAAAAGCTCTAGGAGGATAAGGCTGACATTGCACACTTGGTGATTAGGGTATGTGACTGCTGTTACCTGGTTTACCTTTCCTATGGATTCCCTAGTTGATATTAAAGTTATGGTGGCCACAGACTGGGAAAACTTAATCTGAGCTGCATTAGTTTTTTAATGCTGTGTAAAAATAACTCCAAAATTTGTAGACTTACAACTAAGTGACCATACTTAAACTTAATGGTTTTCGCAAACAAAGAAAAGATAGGATAGAAGATGGAGCAATTGAGGAGAGAAAGAATCAGTGGAGAGGGTAATGGAAGTAGTAAATACACTCAACATATGTTCTGTGTCAAAACATAGTCAAAACATAGAAGCAATAAACACTCACATTGAATACCTTTTGAGCATGAGAATTCAGGAAGAGCTTAGCTGGGCTGTTCAAGTTCAGTGATTTCCACCATCAAGGTGGAAGCAAGGGCTGAATTCCATCTGAGGGCATGACAGAAGCCAAGCAGTTCCTTTCTAGGTGACTCTGAACATGGCAAACTACTTGCTGTAGCTAGCAAAATTCCTCAAATCTTGAACACTATGATGGGCTTTCGTGAGCATGAATCAAGAGAAAACAAAGCTGAGGCCAAAAGAGATACAACAATGTTTAAATAGGTCGCTCTTTTCAGGGTGAGAATGGACCTCATAAGTTCACAGATTCAAGTAGGAGAGGGCATGGGGGCTACCTGGGAAGATGATTGTCTTGGGGTACAGGAGTTCTTCTTGTAGACTGCTAATGGAGTTGGCCTCTGTAAATTAAATTTCACTTTGACTCTTTCTTCCTCCCTCTTTCTCTCTCTCTCTTTCTTTCCTTTCTTTATTTTATATGTTTGTGCCCTTAAGAGGCTTTCAAATTCCAGGACTTTCAAATTACCCCTCTATTTGCCACATCTCTGTGTGGGACTTTTTTTGTTCTCTCTTCTGTATCCTCATTGGCAATAATTTCATTGCTTTCAACCACCTTTAAGATTGCAAGTGTTCAATAATAAACATTTTCTTTATTAAACATTATTATTAAAATGTTTAATAATAAACATTTTATTCAATGCATGTGTGTCAGTGTACACCTAGCATGTAAATATTGTAATTTATATAAGCAAATGAGAAGTTAGAATAACTGCTTGCATCATTTCTTTCAATATATTGTCTTCTGAATTCCCCCAACTATTTTAGAAAGATGTGAATCATTGATTATACACTTCTGTGTGATAATTTAATGTTTGAAAGATTTTGACTTTCATATTTGTGATTAGCTCTAAAATATCTTTCTATAGGGATGGTTTTGTTTTGTTTAATTGGGGTTTTTTGCTTTGTTTTGTTTTTATCCCTTTAATTTATAAGGCTTCCATATTAAAACTGTTTGGGCCAATAAATCTTTCTTTGGTATCATAGTGGTCAGCCTTGAAGAGGTAAGTAGAAAGTAATGACATTCATCTAGTTGACGATCCCAGTGATTGATTCGATCCAATCATTTAACAGTTTTATAAAGTCAATATCAGGGAAAGAAATGAGACTCTTATTATGGTAAACTGTATTTGTACTGTCACCATTCTCTGATTTATTACAAACCTGTGGCTAGGATTAGGATATTATAAATGAGGAAAAATAAAAGGCTCATTAATTTTTTATACCCACAGGTGGAAGACATGCAGTGGGCTAATAGAGAACACACACACCCAGCATCTGTCTGCAGCCTGCCATGCAAGCCCGGGGAGAGGAAGAAAACCGTGAAAGGGGTCCCTTGCTGCTGGCACTGTGAGCGCTGTGAGGGCTATAACTACCAGGCAGACGAACTCTCCTGTGAACTCTGCCCATTGGATCAGAGACCCAACATCAACCGCACAGGCTGTCAGAGGATCCCCATCATCAAGTTGGAGTGGCATTCTCCCTGGGCGGTGGTACCTGTGTTCATAGCAATATTGGGAATCATTGCCACCACCTTTGTGATTGTGACATTTGTCCGCTATAACGACACACCTATCGTGAGAGCCTCTGGGCGGGAACTTAGTTATGTGCTCCTGACAGGGATTTTTCTCTGTTACTCAATCACCTTTTTGATGATTGCGGCACCGGACACAGTCATATGCTCCTTCCGGCGGATTTTCCTGGGACTTGGTATGTGTTTCAGCTATGCCGCACTTTTGACCAAAACAAACCGTATCCACCGAATATTTGAGCAGGGGAAGAAATCGGTCACGGCACCTAAGTTTATCAGTCCGGCATCCCAGCTGGTGATCACCTTCAGCCTCATCTCCGTACAGCTCCTTGGAGTGTTTGTGTGGTTTGTTGTGGATCCCCCACACACCATCATTGACTATGGAGAACAGCGGACACTAGATCCCGAGAACGCCCGGGGAGTGCTCAAGTGTGACATTTCCGATCTGTCACTCATTTGTTCCCTGGGGTACAGTATCCTCCTGATGGTCACTTGTACTGTTTATGCCATTAAAACCAGGGGAGTCCCAGAGACGTTCAATGAAGCCAAACCTATTGGATTTACCATGTACACCACTTGCATCATTTGGTTAGCTTTCATCCCCATCTTTTTTGGTACAGCCCAGTCAGCAGAGAAGGTAAGCCCCAGGAAATCCTTTTGACAGACTTTTTTCCTGGATGTATTGAAATTTAACTTCATTTAGAATTATTTTTTCCTACTTTTAGTTCATTTATATTCTTTCAAGTTGCTTCAGTCTGTGGTGTGTGTGTGTGTGTGTGTGTGTGTGTGTGTGTGTGAAGACTACATTGCTTTGAGTATGTGTGGCCTATGAATGACTTTTTACCCCCCCTAAGTACCACTATTGCATGCTCTTTAGCACGGTTGAAGATTGACAGACTTCGTATCATTTTCTGGGTCTCTTTTCACAGCCCTGTTATCTGCAATGTCACTGTCCTTTTCCAAATGTTAATTAAAAGACAGAAGTAGAAAGGGCAGATGGGCTCACAGGGGTGAGCTGTCCCTGAGAAATCCCACTGTAAAGCAAATGACATCTTTTCTGTTCTGTGGAAACTCTGGGAAAAAGCCATTCCTTGACCATTATTATTCCAATCATAGAAGCAGAATTTATAGTAACACAACCAAAACTAAAACGTACTGAGATGTGCTAATACATTCCTAACCACTTACCACAGCTCCCTGGCCCCTCTTCTTGTTCATTTTACATTTACAAATGATCATGGTGGTGAATAATTACAGTAACAGTGGACAACTATATAAAGTTGTTTGTATTTGTAGGTGAAGATCAATTGACTCTCTTGAAGTAATTTTCTTTGTCATTAATCCTCAGCTGCCATTTTTTCCATATAAAACACTGATTAGCAGAGAAAGTCTTCATATGAGCTGTGGTATTTGTTGGTCTAGATGCATTCAGCCCTACACACAAGGAAGAGGAGAACCAACATTAGCCTGAGTCCCCAGATTTGGAAAGTGGGATGAAGAAACTTGTAGCACACCAGGAGATGTTAGATTTCTGTAGTGATAACCCTTCATCCTTAATGTGTATGTAAGAAAGATCTCTCAAGAGAAGACTTAAACATTTGGCCACCCCCCCATCATTCGAAAGACATCAACTATCTCATGGGAAATTATAGTGCTGGGACTGTAAAGATGCAGGTGAGGGCCTACATAACTTAAAATCTCAACCTAGTCATATGGAAAGTCCTTCACAAGGGATGGCAAGCTTATGAGAATGACCACTAAGCGCCCATTGGATCAATGGGGCATACAGCTATGTTTGGGCAGAAAAAAAAAAAGAACTTTAGTAAATTTTGATGACTAGAATAAACTTGCCTTGAATTAGTGACCCCCAGCACTATCCTGACAGTCTGGCTTTGTGGGGACCACGGAAATTCAGTGTGGGCTCAAACATGGAGAGAGAAATTAAAAGTAAGACAGTCAGGAGCTAGGCCCTTAGTCATGAAAAGATGTATTTCAGTATATCAGGATGGAAACGTATTAGAAATTAAACCTATAAATCTAACTTGTGAAAGAATATGCAAGCCAGAAAATAACTGTCTCCAAGTTCAATGTTTAATAGAGTTGTTTGTTTAGTCATGGAAAACAGCATCTTTTTTTCAGAGTTTGAAAATGCTCAAATAAATACATTTCTGGTAACGACAGTGTAAGCAGTTGTTATATTGAGTGCTAAAACCTCTTTTTCCCTACTGTGTTACCTACAGAGGCCATCACAACATGTTTACTGCGCTTCTGGTGACCCACAAGTATCCGAGCAGAGGATATCTTCTGTGTATTCTAGCTTGATATTCTTCCTCTTCTCTTACATTTTAAATAATAGAACTGTTATTTTTCATATAGTAACTTCTACACATGGAAAGGTTAAAGCAATTGTGAATATGTTTGGGGTAGTTTTTTTTTTAATTCAGTGCTTTAGAATTAAAATAAAACCATAATCTTGTATCAAGGTATTGGATAACACAGTGTTTCAAATTTGAATTCTCAGTGGATCTATAAAGTTATTTAAATATTTTCTCCCAGGGAGGAGCTCATGATGTCCTGCCACAACAAAGGAGTTATTGTCAATTGACCCTGCTGGGTGATGAAAAGTCATTCTTTAGGGATGTGGCACTGATAGAGGTTGCCCATGCTCCAGTGGGTAACCCCCACTGCATTCACATATGGGTATCTTTAGTTGGACTTAGTGGGGTTTTATTTTGTTTTCTTTTATTTTGTTTTTTAAGAAGAGGACTTGAATTGGAAGGGACTTTTATTGGATGATGGACCTGGGGAAGAACTGGAGGGATAAACGACAGCATGGATATTATCAGATTTCACTGTACACATGCATACAATTCTTAAAGAATAACTTTTTCTAAATAAAATATTTTCTCCCCAAACAATAAGGTTATAGATTGTAGCTGTCTTCCAAAAAGCAGCAACTGAGATAAAGATTTGAACATGAAATGAGCACAGAAACCTGTAAGGGACTGAGGCTGCCCACTGTGATGCTGAGCCTTTGAGACGTGTATATCTCTGTTAAAATCTGAAAGTTATATTTACTTTTGTGAGTATGTACGTATCCATGCCTTCAGAGAATGTGGTTATCCAGTTTCATTTTTTTTCTTTCTTACCTTTGTGGAGTAAAGGCATGTTTTAGAAACAAATTGTAAAACAAATAAAAAATATGCTAACTGGAATTTATTTTGTATTTATGATGTGATTAAATGGTAGACAGTCTGCAGAACTCAATAATAAGTAATAACTGTTGGGATTTTCAGAATGTTATAGAGATGTATCATTTAGTCTCTAGGTTGTAGAATTTAGACTGTCTCTATAGCAAGAGCTATTGGATCATAAATAGTCTTTGCCACTGAAGTACTTTATATAATAGAATTATGTGCTATCCTAAAACTTACCTTAAAATTTATTGTCTGCTTTTCTTTTAAAGTATCTTTGTTATTCAAGATGATAGATAAAATGCTTCATAGTATTTTTAACATTGTTAAAGCTATTGGCGTGGATATTAAAAATGAACTAGACATTTCTGTCTCTAAAAGAAGTCTTTAAATAAGTTTATTGACTTGGCAGGAGAGAAGAGCTGATCACTCCTCCATTTTCATTTATAATGCTCAGCCAATTAGCCCAGGTTATCAACTTGAAGCATTTACAACAGCCAGGCGACACACACATCCATTAATTCAGCAGATCCTTATTGAGCCTTGTGTCTGGCATTGGGCTAATTATTGAACCCACGTCAGTCTACCTCTCGGAGTGTCCTTGTAAGGATCAGCTTGGCTCTCAGCCCATGCCTTCCTGTTGCCTGCCAGCACCAGCAAGATGCCAGGCTCAAGGGCAGGAAAGATGGTGAGAGGTCAGATTGGAGAGGAGAAAGCAAATAACTATGCATCCTTTAACTCTACATTAATGACGCAGAATTTGTACCATGGAAAACAGCAGGGCACATTTTCTCCCAGTGCACACACGTATCAATATGCCAGCTGAGAGTAGTGTCTACTGCAGGAAAGCTGTTGAGCCATGCAGGTCTCTCTGAAATTGCAAGAAGCAAGAAACAGAAGTAAAGAGAATTGAATAATCTACAAAGATGGTCCGGAAAACATTCCTATGTAACCAAGTTAGCAGTTATCAAAAGAACAGGCAGTATAGAACCAGAAAGATTGATAGCTCTTTGATGTGTGTCGTGCCTGCTTTCAGTAGCAAACACCATTTAACTTGTCCACATGTTTTCTCTTTAGATCTATAATTACATAACTTGCTCGTACTTCTGGAATCTGCTAAATATTGGAAGAAATTTACTTTCTCATTCTTTTGGAGAAGCAGTATAAAGAAAATATAGAATTACGGAGGTACTTTGTAGTTATACCCAAAGTCACATAATTGTGCTGAAAAGACAAAAATATATTTAAAATCATTAACCTAATCGTGTAGAAAATAATCATTATTGGTAGTTACAGGCTCAAAGGGTGGCAGAAATCTCTTAAAGACATTTTATCTTTCCTAATTGGGCCCATAAAATGCAGATAACCAGACAATCGTTATGACACTGCCAAACTCCAAGGAGTACAATGATCCAACTAGATCGATGGCTACAAAAACAAAAACAAACAAAAAGCAATATCAGAACAGAAACACAAAAACTGACAGATGCCTTAGGATTTCTATTGCTATCATGAAACACCATGACCAATAGCAAGTTGGGGAGAAAATGGGGCGGGTGTATTTAACCTACTTTCCCTCACCACAGTTCACCATCAAGTGAAGTCAGGACAAGAACTCCAACAGGGCAGGAACCTGGAGGCAGAGCTGATGCAGCAGCCAAGCAGGGGTGCTCTTTACTGACTTATTCATCATGAATTGCTCAGCCTGCTTCCTTTTGGAACCCAGGACTACCACTCCAGGGAATGCATCACCCACAGTGGGTTGGGCCCTCTGTCATCAGTCTCTAATTAAGAAAATGCCTTACAGGATTGCCTACAGCCCAGTCTTAAGGAGTTATTTTCTTAACTGAGCTTTTTCCTCTCAGATAACCTTAGCTTTAGTCAAGTTGATATAAAACTATCTAACAACGTTAGCAAAACAAACAAAAAACAAACAACCCCTCCACAGCTCTGCCAAACAAAACACCCAAAGAGTGAAACCAGTTCATCTGAACCAGCTTTCCCCCCTTGCCATGTAGAGTATCTACGCCATAACTCAAGTCAGAGACTTAGAGTTATCTTCAACCCCATTTTTCTAGTAGCTCTACTCTATTGTTTGATTGTCTCAACTTCAAACGCCACCCCATATAAACTTGTAGACCATACAGCCTGTCTATTAGATATGTATCTGATTGAATACAGTCCCAGGTAGCGTTCTTTATATAATACATTCTCAGTAAATGCCCTTTAAATCAGTAGGTGTCATATCTTATATAGTAATGACAATATAATAATTTTGTTTATATATAATACACAGTATAATAAATTTGTTTGCTTAGGATATTTTAGGTTAATGCTTAATTCAAGTCTATTATATACCTCTCCTTGATCAACATTAAACTCTTCATTGGAATTTTTGCTATTTAAGTAATTGGCCACATTTATCTCTCAAAATCATGTGTTC